TTAAGAAAAGGGTTTAGAGTTTAAAACTACTTCAATGTGTATGTATACTGTAACAATGAACTCCTCTTATTTGCCCCACTTTAGTCTGCTAAATATACAGCTGAAAGCATTTTGTTATATCTGTTTGAGAATAAAAAAAGAATAATTGATTTTGCCAGGAATCTTGTGAGATGACAACTTCCTGTGCTCTCTGCCTGTGCTGAATGTTATATCAATTATATTGTTCTTAGCTATCTCTGAGGACTACAGAACCATGCCCCTCTATGCTATGGACAATCTTGTTTCTGATGCCCTGATATTAAATGGTAAGTGAGCATTGTAATCCTAGAACTGGAAGTATGTCACTGGCAGAATCACCAAGTGAAAGTACAGGGAAAAAAAACTAAATAAAGAAAACAAATGCAGCCAACACATTTACGGACTGGTAAACAATACAATACAATACAATAGATTGAATGATTGTACAATAGATAACATTTTTTGTTTTGGAGTTTAGATCCGCTTTAATCAGTGCAATATCTATCAAAAGATAAATGGCGAGAAAGGGTTTCTCTAACTTCTATAAAACAAAGCATTAGGGCAGTGTATCTTACACCATGGGACAGGACCCACACTGGGTTACAGATGTGTTTGGGAAGGTTCACCACTTGACTTTGTGTCCAAGTGCAAAATCAGCAGATCATCGGTGAGTGATAGCAGAGTATGACTGACAGCACAGACACTTATGGGGAACAAATGCAAGTCAGCGACGGAGACAATTGCCCAGACAAGATTGCGCGGTTAGTAGACCTGGCACTAGTTGGAAATGTCTGCTACTAGAAGAAAATACATTGAAGATATTTCTCTTGCCTTTACTAAAGCTTACAGAAATGGAAAAGAACACCTGCAATGGGTTCTATGTGTGGAAGTTCGTAGAAATAAAAGTCTTTTAGATGCAGCAAGCAAAAAAGGAAACAGTGTTTTTAACAGAACTCCCACAGCATGAAAACAAACGCAAGCAATTCTTCAATGGAAGGCAGAACGCTTTAAAAAGCAGTTTGACTGTGGAAGGGTCACAGTCTTTAAGGCAGAATCATATTTTAAGACAGTAGACGTAGGTAGCGAAGTAGCCTCATACCACTAACTGAGGTAACGTACTGTAGTAGTTCGTATATGTGCAGAACCCCCCCAACCGAAATCATGTACTAAATTACAGAATTTATATAGTGGCAGCAGTTTGCGCAGGTTAGGAAGGCCCTGCTTGTGACGGCGCTTACAATCTAAAGAGAAGGGGCAAGTGATACAAAAGGCATGTATGGTGAGGGATGAGCTGACAAGTTAAGGTGGGATAGGCTTCCCTCAAGAGATGAACAAAAAGATGGTCAGGTTAGGAAATCAAAAGATATCTTGGGGTAGGGAGTTCCAGAGGAATAGACTCTGGAGAAGTCCTGGAGGTGGTGGAAGGTGACAAGGGAGCTAAAGAGCAAAAAGTCATGGGAGTATTGGAGAGGACAGTTTGGGTGATATTTTAAGATGAGGTCGGTGATGTAGCGGAGTTGTGGATGGCTTTTTATACTGTTGTTAGTATTCTCAATTGTATTTGTTGGGCGAGTGGAAGCCAGTGGAGTGTCTGGCAGAGAGGAGCAGTGGCCACCGAGCATTTGGTAAGGTGAATACGTCTGACAACAGCATTTACGATAGACTAAAGGGAGAATAGGCTGTGTAAAGGTAGGCCACTGAGGAGGGAGTTGCAATAGTCGGGACGAGAGGTAACAAGGGAATGAATTTGAAGCATTCTGGTACAATTTGTTAAGAAGACATTTTGTAAATGTCGCAGAGGTTAAGGCAGCAAGATTTGGACAATGATTCGATGTAGTGCCAAAAGGAAAGGTTAGAATACAGAGGGGACTGATTGATTGTTGTGCTGTTGACCTAGATGGGGAAGTTGGAGAAGGGGACATGGTAGGAGGAAATATTATATGCTCCGTTTTAGACAGATTGAATTTGAGGAAGTGGTGTGAAATATATGTTGATATGTCCGTGAGTAAATTAGTCATGCTTGAGGAGACAGAAGGGCTGAGCTGAGGAGCAGAGAGATAGATTTGGGTTTGTCGGCATAGAAATGGTATTAAAATGGGTTAGTTGAAAAGTGACATCAGGGGTAGCTTTGGGGATCAGGGAATAAAAAAAAAAACTAAAGAGGAAAAATACCATAACCCTTGGGACACCATAGAAAACCCTCTTAGGATCTTCAACATGCAGAAGTCCGGAAGCAGACTTAGGAAGAGAGATCGTATTAAAAGCCATGTGAAGTTATTAACTCCCCCAGGAAGGATGTATAGAAAATAGAAGGGAGCACAAGGACAGAGCCTTGGGGGACCCCTATGGAAAGAGGAAAAGGAAAGGAGGAGATAGAGGTGTAGGCAACACTGAAGGTGCACTGAGAGTCAAAGGCAGTAGAAAGGTCTAATAGTACGAGAATGGAAGTAGTGGCCATTTAGCAGTTTGCAAAGCTGACCATACACTGTAATATTTTTTTCTTTCAACTTGTGGGCTGAACGAAGAAAATATAACAGATTTCTCCATCAACGTTTACGAGCATTACATAGTTACATAGTATTTGATGTTGAATAAAGACATTAGTCCATCAAGATCAAGGAATCTCCAGCTGTTTGCATTGTATTCTGATGGTGGTCACCGGCCGCTGTCAGAGTACCTTAACAGAGCTGGTAACTCAATGGCTGCCAGCTCTGTTCTTTCGAAGATTTTCTGACCGGCTCCTTCGATCAGCTGATCAAGGGATGCCGGCCAAGAGGGTGCAGACAGCGGCACCCACTGTGCGAATATCGGCCAGTTCATCAAGAACCGTCTGAAATTTGCATAGTGTATGGTCAGCCTAAGTCATTAAATTTTAGAAGGGCAATTTCTGTGGAGTGTTGCCGAGGAAATCTAGCCTGAAAGGGGTCGAAAAGGTTGAGTAAGGTGGATTTAACGGCATTTGTTGCTGTGTGTGTGTGGTTTTTTTTGTTTTTATTTATTTATTACATGTCCACTGTTGTTTGTGTTGGTATGTCTTTAATTACATTTTGGTAAAAACTCTCCACTCGAAACCCAGAATGGTAACAGTTTTCTTATTTGGAGCCTCAGATTAAAAAGTTTAAGGCTAGGTTCAAATATCGGCGATCCTAGAACACGTGTTCCCCATTGATGTAACCCCATTGATTTCATTGGGGTTACATCTGCACGGAAATCGCACACAAAAAAAGGCACATGTACTTCTTTTTGCGACATGCACTGTGCAGTTTTTTGAACCGCGATCGTGTGTGATTGCATGGACATCATCACGGGTGAAACCGCACGATCTACCTGGTGCGACTGGGGTGCCATTACAAAATAATGCCACTGCCAGCGCGATCAGTGGTAGTGGGCGATTTTGTGGCCGTGTGGCCATCTGCACAGTTTCATGCACGTTTGCCGCATGGTCACGGATCGCCATAGTGTGAACCTAGCCTCTACATGTCTCTGTCTCTACATATTTTATGTTTCAGACATGGCCAAAAGAAGGCAAACACATAGAGACAAAGCAGTGTTGTGAACACACTGGTTTGGTCATGTGATCTCCAGCATATCACAACGATTCATTACTGGGAGTCAATCTGGGACTTGAGTGTTACAAAGAACTCAGTCATGGCACTAAGCAAGCATCCCAGGAATAAAGAATTGCCTGGTATGTAAATGCACAGAACATTATACCATGTATCTGGTGTAAATGGACAGGACCTAGTACTAATATATGCTCTATATAAAGATTAACTTTTTAAGTACCATTTTCTCTGGAGATAATTAATGTAATAATAATAGTTCAAGGCGATAAGAAAAAAAAAACATTTTTAAATAAGATTTCACTGACAAATTCAGTTGTAAAAAAAAAACTTGTTGGCCCACCTTCTCTAACATGTTCTAACCCAGAATCTTCCCTTCCAGATGCTTACTAACCTCTCAGTGACAGAGAAGGCCCCCCTCTGTGTGTACCCTCTAGTGGCACTAGTTGCAAACCTGAATGGGGCCATACTGCTACTTTAGCAATGCTAGGGTTATGGCCCCATTGGAGCATATGGGCACTTACTGCACAGGCATGGCCAGCGCCAGAGAACATTTCAGATGGAGAATGGTAAACTCCATCGGAGGCTGCCTCTATCAAGAAGAGGTAAGTAAGCATCTGGATGGGGAGGTTCTATGTTAGATTAGGTTAGGGTGCTTGAACATGTCCTCTAATGTAATAGAATATAGAGACAAAACTAAGCCCATAACATGTTTATGCCCTTCGAAGCATATCTCAACAGAAAAACAAAAATGTAATACATTGCAGCGTACCAGTCCCAGATTTGGTGGCTGCGTTTTCACTTTTCAGGCAGTACAGAAAATACCTGTTGATCTTGCCAGAAATGCAGACTGCTTGTCACTTCCTGTGCACTGAACTCAAAGCATAAACAATCTTATCTTTATTGTGTAAATGACTAATCTTATCGATCCATCGTGTAATGGAGATGACCAACGGCAGACATGTTTTACGTTCAGCCTATGTGGCAAGCATTGCTGCCACCATAAATACTATGGAGAGAAAAATTCTAGACATGAAGGGGCAAGAAGTGTTTTAATAGCAGATTTACCTGGTGAAAATAAAGCAAAAAATATCTTCGAAGAAGAAAACTAACGCAGGCACTACATCTAAGGCCTGGTAAGCTGCAACATATTACATTTTTATTTTAGGGTTTAGATACGCTTTAGAGCTGGCAGAATCAGGAGCAGCAAATGCAAGCCAAACTGCTGAATTACATTGATTTATATTTTTGCACTCTGTGGAAGAACTATAGCCGAAACTTAAATTGAATCATTATTGTACCATCTAAAATGTAATGATCAGTACTGGCATGAAAGTTGCCTATGAACAAGATCATTTATTTAACACTATATAATGATTCTTTTAGTTGATTATCTAGTATCAAAACCAATATACCAACCTTCATATCTTCCAGCAGAGCATGAGGATTTTCTATTCCATCTGGGACACATTTCTTATTTTCCGGAAGAGACTCTAGTTTCTCCACAAGGGCTTTTAAGCCCTTCAGTTCAAACTCTGTCAGGTGTGTCCACCGCGAAGCCACCTCTGTAGATGGAGATTCTGATGGGGTTTTTGGAAAGTCACTGTGCACAACAGACCTGGAGCTTTCATCAGAGTCATTAGATAGAGTTCTTTTTAAGTAGTGCATCAATGTAGCCTTTTGTTTTTTTTCTGCTGACTCTTTGCTGTCCGACTGTGTGCTATTGGGTGTCAAGGATTCATCACCTGATAGCTTGGATATCTTTTCTCCATGGTCATCTTTCTCATCCAGCGTATGAGCATCACAAGATTCTTCCTCCATTTCTAACCAGGAATCTGAGGACAAGCTGTCTATACTGGGCCTTCCTGTTGATTCTAGGACAAAAATGATTAAAGTAAACATTATTTTCCCCACTTTAAAATTACTAAGCTTGGCCTCTTATTGTCAAGTGAAAACTTGAATAGCCTTTCAAAAGTTCAGCCTACGCAAAACTGACATTTCAGCTTAAGGAGAATGATTGTGGCTTATCAAGCAACTGGTTTCTTAGACCTCTGAGATGCTATTTGCAAGTCCTCACTAGCAGGTTGACATCCTCGATCCCTGCAAAGACATCTGACCATTTTGCTGAATACTTTAAAATGTCAAATTCAAGATAAAAATTGGCATGGTTGTATAATGTGTATGCGTAATGGTTGCAGCAAGTAGGCCTCATGAGATTGAAAAAAAATGGTGGTGGCCACGCCAACTACCCGTCTTCAAGACTGAAATACCAGATTTGCGTACGCTGACTCTAACTCTCTGTAGGGTGTGGCCAGGACAGAACACCACCAAGAAATTAGATAAAACTTTCAAATGCCACCTTTCTTTGTATTCATGAAAAAGTCAATACTATTACAACCCTAGAAACCTACAAGATTGCAAATAACCATTTCCAAGAACTGTTAAAGTAAAACTAAAGTCTCAGAGTACTTCGCTTTGTAAAAGTAAAACAGGAATGAATGGGGTTTTTCCCTAATTTTGTTCATTCTGTAGACTCTTTGGGGTTGATTTACTGAAAGGCAAATGGGCTATTCTCTTTGCAAGGGAATTTGCCTTTAGCTTAGTCAATAAGGTGAAGTTCTGCTGACTTCCATCAACCAATGATGTGCAAGCAAAAAAACACTGTTTTTTTTTGTTGTTATTTTCCTAGCTTGTGATGGAGTATCCTTTGAAAAGTGAATTTTCACTAAATTCATTAAGCGAAGTAAAAATTATCTTGTAAAACAAACAGCCTATTGGCCTTTGGACTTTCTGTGGACGTTTGCATCCCCTAGCAGCAGTTGAAAAACACAGTTTTCCTATTGTTACTATGACAAACTGTATATTATATAGTATAACACTATTGGCACAGGTGCTTCTAGTCCACTAGCCCAAAAAAAGGTGACGACACTGCAGCTGACCTGAGTAGGCGTTCTCACCCTAGGACAGGAACACCTTGCTAGTGTGATTTAAATAAAATAATAATAATTATTAATTAACAGCTGGACATATAAAAAAGGATTACATTTTTGTTAGGGCTGTGCAAATTAACGATTAATTTCTCGATTAATCGTTAATCTTTTTGATCGATTAAATTTTTTTTAAAACTTTCTGCATGAGCGCCAGCAAAGGCATTGGCCTATACACATACAGCACAGCAATGAAGTAATAAAATGAACTAGGATCACACTAATCCAGCATGTTATTATTCTGAGTTCTCCCACTCAAGCGGCGGCCATATTGTGAGGCACGTGAGATTAATAACGTGCTGGATTAGTGTGATCCTAGTTCACGTTATTACTTCATTGCTGTGCTGTATGTGTATAGGCCAATGTAGTTGGATCTGTATGTGCGTTATAATTAATCAAAATTAATCGATTAAAATGTTTTTCGATTAATCAAACATGAAAATTTTAATCAGTACCAGCCCTACATTTTTTGACATTAGAAAATCATTTGAAACAGTATATTTGGTTGAAGTGCTGTGGCTTAGATACACTTTTAATTCACTGCAAAGAGAACAAATATTAAGCAAAAAGAAAACCACTGGTATAGTGGGTATATATTAATGTAACCTAATGGCTCACACCAAAGGTGCCAGTCATTGTAATTTGAGAGAGAGCAGGAACCTCAAGTAGCCAGTAAGTAGCCAGAAATGTAACATGTAACTTCATTGTCTACCATGCAGAAAGTTTAAAATTAATTAGATGCGCTTCCAATTTTTTTTAGGCAGGTTGTCCAGCCCAAGATATACACATTGTTTATCACCTGGTGATCTTTGTTCTTATTTCAGACAATAAAGTGCAAATCCAGTTACAGACCATCATATAACCACAGATGCAGTCTTTCGCATAACTGTATTTTCCACCTTTGATGTTCAGTGTCTGATCAGGGAGATTATGGGCACAATGTATTGTTACATCCTTAACGGCCATGATATTTAATCTAAATCTGAAATATGCAAATACAGGATTATACAAATATTCAGAACAATACAAATATTTATAGATATTTTAATCCAATCAATCAGGTTCAGTCCAATAAAGTTCTGTGAAGTAAATGAAATGGTCAACCAGTTATCTATCAAGCTGATAAAGCACATTAGGATTCCAGCCATAACAAAGACTTAATACAGTCACGAATGTTTTGCTCACAGTGCACTTACCAAATAGCATTGATTCCTTTTGATACTCCTTGTTAAGGTAACAGCGGTTGGTTAAAGTGCAAACATATCTCTCCAGGACATACCAGCACATTTCATAATAGAAAGGATAGCGGAATTTGGCATGCACCTGAAAAGAACCCAACAAAGATTACCTACGACATCAGTGCTGACTGAGATCAAGTTATCATAATTTTACTGTTAACAACTTAAAAGTATAACACAAGAATTTTTTTAAAAATATTGCTACTACAGTTCACCTTTTAAAAAAGCTGTTCACATCAAGGGGCTCCATAAAAATTGCATTATAAAAAAGCACCTTCATGAAATGATATGTAAACACACATGTACAGGTAAAGCAAGGTTTTTTTCTGGGGTTGTAAAGGCAATGTCATGAAAACCCTAAAAACCCTTGAAAAACCTTTGAAAGCTGACAAAGGTTAACTGTTGAAGTATAATCCACTGTTACTGGGGAAAAAAACCTCCCTTGGCCACCTATATACATTGCAAATATTTTAGCAAGATCATCCAGCTATAGCCACATGGAAAGTCCCAGTGTTGTACTAAGAGAACAACTGCTGGAGAAATCCATGAGCCAATGAGATTAGCAGAAAATTTAATTTTCTGGGTAAGTTCTGTACACCAAGGAAGCCAGGGTTCATTTTTTTACCAGTTTTAGAAACATTCATGTGGGTGTTATTTTGATATGTACCACCTACCTAAACATTGTTGCTGACCACGTACACCCCTTCATGGGAACTGTATTCTCTGATGGCAGTGGCCTCTTTCAGCAGGATAATGCACCCTGCCACACTGCACAAATGGTTCAAGAATATTTGAGGAACACAACAATGAGTTTGAGGTGCTGACTTGGCCTCCAAATTTTCCAGATCTCAATCGAATTACTGTATTTTGTGCTCCATAAGGCGCACCTGACCATAGGACGCAGGGAGGGTAGGGTTCTGTGACAGCTGCAGTTAGTGACAGCTGAGACAGGTGGCGCTGTGATTACAGCGCCACGGTCTCAGTGATCACACAGAGCAGACGAAGAACTGGCGTTCTTCGTCTGCTCTATGGTGAGCTCCTATGCCGTGGTCACGGGTCCCCCAGAGGAGCGGGGGCCCCCGAAAACCACGGCGGGGGCGGACACGATTGCCGCCGCCGCTCGATTTGATACAAGTGATCTGATTAGATCACTTGTATTAAACAAGCAGCGGCTCCCACTGTACATTTAGCTCTGCTTGTCCGGAGCAGGGCTGAGTTTACAAAAAAACTACTCGCCAGGCGCCCGAAACTGCATGTCCCGGGGGTCGGGCGATAGGGATTCGCTCCATAAGACGCACAGACATTTTTAGTGGGAAAAAGTGCGTCTTATGGAGCCAAAAATACGATAAGCATTTCTGGGATTTACTGGAAAAACAAGTCTGCTCCATGGAGGCCCCCACCTCATAACTTACAGGACTTAAAGGATCTGCTACTGACGGCTTGGTGCCAAATACCACAGCATACCTTCAGAGGTCTAGTGCAGTCCACGTATTGACGGGTTAGGGCTGTTTTGGTGACAAAAGGGGACCTACTCAATATTAGACAGGTGGTCATAATGCTATGGCTAAGCAGTGTATATGCTACATGAATTGTGGTGTTACTTTTTAGGAGAGAACTGTGTGCTTGTTTTATGTGGTTTAGGCAGTCCTGTCAATCACAGGACCCATACTGTATCTTATTATCCTTTTAGAAGGCAAGAAACTTTTGAGACTGACTGATGTGAGCTTGATTAATGAGTCGTCAGGGTGAAAGGTGTAGCAATACAAAAGCCTCTTTATTATCATGTATTCTTCATATGACCACTTCTATTCTCTTCTCAGCTATATGGGCCAAATGTCCTTTAGATTTGGGCATCATGTGGACGGCAAAATCTGTTAGCAATCAGGCCATCTACAGGGAGATTGATGAAGATGTTTCCAATAGTTCAATTTTCCATAATTAAGAAGCTTAAAGTGCAACTGAAGCCCACATTTTCTTTATTAGTTCTGGATAGGTTGGAGAGGAATTAGAACACCTGCCCAGGTCTTTATTGCTGTCTGTGTCCTCATTAGGGAGATTGAACCTCCCTATTTGTCCTCGTGACCGTTACCACTAACAATGAGAGTAAATCACAATTTTTGGGTTGCCATCAGAACAAGAATAGATGGAAAATCTTCCAATGGGGACGCTAGTTCTTATGAACCTGCTGACCACCAGAAATGTCCCGCTCAATATAGATGCTATAAAATGTCACCACTATCTACGTCTATGGAGAGGATTGATTCACGGATAGGGCAGCAGTTAACTACTTTGGATCAGATAACATACACTCTATCATTCTGTGTTTAAACATTGATCAGTTCACTTCAGATAAAGTAGCACTTGCTACAGGAAACAGGCAATTACATTTTGTTCTGCCAATTTTTTCCCGCCATTACAGTAATACTCAGTGTATGAGGAAATCAAAAATTTTACATTCTGCCTGTACCCCATTAAAACTAGAATAAACACGTAATAATTTGAGTTCAGACCTCACATGGACCTTAGTGTCAGATCCCCACACTTTGACAGCCAATAACAGTGATCTGAGTGTCTCTGTGGTGACATGCAACACATGCTGCAATAGTCTTTGTGCACCCCAGACATAAAGGGAGATCCACAGAAAGCCGCTAATGGCTGTAAAAACAGGTTAATTTGCTATATTCGATGGACAAGTGCTGAGTAGCAGCTGCAGAAGTAGTACGCTGTGCACATTTGTTATGTATGTGGGGACACTGAACAGCAACACAAAGATAAAACATACACTTAAAAAAGAGGTAATGATAAAGCACAGAAAGCATAACTTAAGAGCACACATATAGCCATTGTAATTGGTGAAATGAATGTTTAATGATTCATTTCATTCAATGTTCAACAGCTGCAGTGAAATGATGTTGCTTTTGAGATAACGGTTCATTTTCTTTTCTCTGTACTTTCACCCTTTATGAAAATATTACCAGCAGCCACCATGGCAACATCTAACCACTGATTAAAGCTATCTGAGGCAACAAGAGTTAGTTAAAAATAAATGAAATAAAATGTTAAATGTCTCTATATTAAGCATCTGCCATAAATCGGAATGGTTCCATATGCAATAATAATAATAATGCTCCACACATCGCTTCTTGTGGGACACATCGGAGCAAGCATTAGAAAGTGATTGGTTTAAAGAAAATCTGTCAAGGGAGAACTATGGAAGGCCGGATTTACTGATTCCCAGAAATAACTAGGTGCCTGACTGTTATACTGACCCTCTGACTTATAGGGCCCATTTGCACCTATGCATTTTAATGCCCGTCAACGCATGTAGCCATTGTTTTCAATGGGCATAGATTACATGCATTTCCTTTTTTATGAAGTGTGTCAAGGAGCTCATAGAAGTCATGCAACATGCGCTTTTATGTCCTGTCAACACATTACAAAGCACGTAAAAAAAAAAGGATTACAACACTAACACATAGGTGTGAGGATAGCCATAATGCTTTTATAACCATCAGCTTGACATCACTAGATGCTTGTTCCAGGTCAGTTACATAGAAAGGATTGAAGCCCATGAAAGCCAAGCAAGTAGCACTTTTAGAAGGTCGCAATGGCAGCCTCTTATTTCTCTCCCGAGAGGTTTCCTTTACTGAGAAACTGAAGGTGTATTTTTAGTAATATTAATATGTTATTATTGAAACATTTACCTGAAACTTGTTTTAACCTCACTTTCAGATTTCAACTTTGTATTATTCCTATTTTAATGTAACTATCACATACCGATTTATAGACTGTCCCTCTAGTGCACCAGTAGGCAAACTAAAAATCCCATCATGCATCGGTCTCTGGGAGTCATGCCTGTGACTGTCAGAGTCTTGCAATGCCTAATGGGATTTGGAGTTTCACCCCAGCTGGACGGCTACCCCTGCTCTAGTGGCTATGTGTAGTAAAGACAGCAAACCTGTTTAACGACTATTGAGATCAAATAAAGTTTATTTAAAACCAAGAACAAAAATATTATATTGCAGCTTACCAGTCCTTAGATATAGTGGATGCATTTTATTTTTTCAGGCTTTTAACATTTATCTTTACATGGCAATCCTGCCAGTAACACACTTCCTATCCTTGGGTGACAACACTGACCATGCTGTATCTATAAGGAGCAGCTTTGTCCCCCCAGCAAAGAACTACCAAAAACCTCCACTCATCTATACAACATGATCTGTAGTTCATCGGCATAAACTGGGCGAGGCTGATAACACTGCTGTATTTCAGTTGAGCAGAAATACTGTCAGCTAAAATAGGAAGTTATGAGCTCCCTGGATTTCTGTTGCAGCATTTGTAAAAAGACAAAACACGGGGAAATGTGCATGAACTGGAGAGATGTACTGGATATATCAATTTTGCCCAGACACTTTATTCATCAATTAGTTGAGTAGATTGATAATCATGCACTGAGAGCAAGAAACAGTTAAGCACAATGACTGTGGGCAGCCCTATTAAGAAGGGCCTACAAATGTAATGAGCAAATATGGCTGCCCCCATGTACAATACTCAGTAATGATTTTTAAAACATGATCACTCATTGGTAAGATTATTTTCATTAAAGTGAACCTGTCACAAACATGGACAATTCAAAATGAACATGTGATGAAAAAATGCATGCTCTGTATATGCAAACACCCTGTAGACAACTTTTAACAGCCATGTCTACAATGAAGAGAAGCTAAACATTTCCCATTAAATATGTAAACCTGTCAGAAACCTGGGAATTTCACTGTATAGTAAATACTGCATAGTCAATTGGTGAAAAATTGTACAAGCAGAGGTTGAAAATCCAAAGTTATATGCAATTCTATCAAATAAATCCACATTGGCTCTTCGCTCTTGCAACTCCTGAGCCTCCGTATTGGTCATTAAAGTCAACTATTCTATTAAAGGTCCAACAAGAAGTTAGGAAGGGTTCAGCTCAACATTTCCAGGAAAAGTTGACATTTACCTATAACTTTAGCTTTCCATTATTGGATCTACTGATCTGTTGACATTTGGTTTTCACTTCAGGTAAACTATACTTATGCATTTGTTCATTATATACATTGCCCACGATTTTCTTTAAGCAAATAACATTACAAGTATTCAAAAACATAAGGATAAAACGACACATTTCCTTTACACAAATGGGAAAAGCAAGGCTCATTCTAGGCCTTAAATCTTTATATATCCCCAAACTGAAGAGCCTTGTATTTTACATCATCAATAAACACAGCAGTTCAGAGGTCAAATGTTATACTGTCATAGAGCTACGACATAATTATACTTTTTTTTGTTTGTGCCATATATTGGTAAGGACATATAAATGAAAAGAAAGGTCAAAGAAGGTTAAATTGATTACTCAAGGGCCTTGCAGCACGGAACAGCTTCCACGCATTGATCAGAAAAATAACACCAACTGCAAAAGAAACATGGATGTCAACCACCACTTGGGGGTTTTTCGACATCATAATTTGCATTATTGTGCACGTCCTAAAGAGTACAATGAATACCCAGTCTGTAAAACGGAGGGAAAAAACACGTTCTCATTACCTTTCTTCATGGGTTGGCTTTCATCCTGGAAAAAGAAACTTACTAAATGAAAATAAGTGTCCTCTGAAACCCCTACCCCCATAAGAACTCCAATAACCTTACCCTTGTTCTGTCTTCGATCTCAAACACACGAAGTTGCATGGGAATATTAAAGCTGTGCAGTATGTTGCCACCAAACACCAGAGAGTCTGCTGGAGTGTACACGGCGTGAATCCATCCTAAAATCAGAAAGTAAGCAGCAGTAAGAAGGGCTGCAGACGCAGATAGAACGTGTCACCAGAGCAAAGGTGGCCTGCGGCAGGATAAAGCTGGCTCCTTCCAGCAACTTGATCAATGGAGGGCTGCACATTGTGCTTCATTACAGAGGTTATTTCCTTAAAGCCGCTCTCCCTTCTCTACAGTGGGCTCTCATTCAGCACTGCAGCTAGAAATGATTTTCTTCTGCACGATATGTAATGCAGGGAGGCTGCCTTTCATCAGCTAACCAGCAGGAAGAAAACAGGCGGACTCTCGGACCAGTAAGAATGAAAGGATTCACTCTCCCAACCCCCTACCCGAGGGGAAAAACACACATTTGAGCCATTAAACACGGTCTGAGCTATGCAAGCTTCAAGGAAGCAATTCCAGGGCAGTTCATGGGGAAAGGAAGTTACAAAAAAAAAAAAAGACAGTGCGAAAGGATTCGATTTTTTTTTTTTTTAGACATGATCTACAAAAGAACAAGCTACACACAAACAGCCATTATGGCAAGTCTTAAACTACTTTATGGCAGCAGCGGGGCACAGTTTTTTCTGTAATTTGTAATCAGTAACAAGAAGGAATTATTATAAGATTAGACTGAACTCCAGCCAGATATTTTAAAAAAAAAACAACTTAACCTCGTTGTTTATTATAAAAAATTATTCAGTATTTTTACACAGCTAGAAGAAGAGTGTTGTAATGTTTAAGGCGGAATTAAGTGTATAATGAGTGACAAAAAAAAACCTAACGTTGTAATGAAAGCTTGCATATTTTATAACTACAATTAGACAATAAATGTTATCACTTACACTACATATATTTATACAATATGCATAAGTACCTGCATCTGTCTTAATAATCAGCCTATGTCAGCCCTTGCTCAGACAAAGGAAGGGGCATCCCTAGGATCCAATCAGCCTCTGCTGCAGGCACATGTGGCAACGGGGATTAGTCCCCGTTCACCCCTAGGTGTTTTGTCGCTCAAAACTTTGAGCAACTAAATGCGCAAGACAGGGAACCCTATTCATCTCTATGGCCTCTGTTTACATTTGAGTGTTATATTGCAAGCAGAAAAATGCCTTTATTAGAAAAAAGTCAATTAGCTTCTTTTTGGCAGATTAGAGTGCGTTTTGTCCTATAGACTTTCATGGAAAACATGTGACACAAGCGTTTTCGCACATTTGTAGAGGACAGCAAGGTGTGCATAGTTGATGACTTAGGGGCTATTCACAGCAGCCCATTATGGTAACGTGGTAAAGGCCCATTCACCCCACTTATGCTGCTGTAATGTACCTCCAAAACACATGTGCGCTGTAACCCCCTTACAGCGCAAAGTACCTATTTTGTTCACACGTTGAGGCGAGTTGCAGCACATGCATTTTGAATAGGTTGCTTAATGCAGTGCGTCAACGCAGTGTGTTAATGGGCACACAGCAATGTACCAAGCACACGTTTTTGCGTTGTATTGCCATTCATTTTTAATGGGAAACCAATGCACCACCAGCACACACTGCAACACAGTCCAACCACAATGCATGCCTTCGTTGCAGAGCAGAAAAATGCAGCATGCACTGAATTTCTGTGTGTTGAGGTGTTACAGCCCATTCATTTTGAATAGGCTGTGTAACGCAAAGTACCTCAACACACATAACTGAGTGCGCTGTGCTATGAACCATCCTTAAAGTGTGTTTCTATTTCCTAAGTAAAAGAAACAGGTCACCAGCACTCGTTTAGAATAAATATGTCATTTTTTAATGGACAATTGTGTCACTACAATCAACAGAGCCGACATTTCAGGGCCGCACAGGGTCCCTTCTTCACGGCAGTAAAATTGGGACAGAGTTACTTACCATTACTCTGTCACAATTTTACTGCTTTGAAGAAGGGACCCTGTGCGGCCCCGAAATGTCGGCTCTGTTGATTGTAGTGACACAATTGTCCATTAAAAAAGGACATATTTATTCTAAACGAGTGCTGGTGACCTGTTTCTTTTACTTCGTATTTTGCACGGTGCCATCCGTGATAGTCATTGCGAGCACCACCGTTCTTATTTGGCCAGGACTGCTGTAAGGTGTGCGGAGAGGACCCCCACCACCTGAAAACTTGTTTCTATTTCCTGGCTGTTTAGCCAGAAGGCTTTGGGCGGGGAGGTGACACCACTGTATTCCTTAAAGTTGAACTCCAGGCAAACAGATAAATACACACCTGTATGGTGTTATACCTGCCAAAGGATTTGTATTTCTGTCCATCCTTTCCTGACATGCACACAGCTCTGCCAAATAGCAAAGTCTTGTCTGGCAGGATAAAAGACGTGATTGTTCTCTGCTGCAGTTAGGATACATTTATGCATCGTGACCCTCCCACATCGTGTGATTGGCGCTGCCAGCTTCTTGGCGGGAACGGAACATGGAGCTGCGAACACGCCCTAGCCCATCCTTAGTCTGAAGCTGACCGATTTTTCTCCATTCAGAGCGTCTTGTAACAGGTTACACAGCAGGGAAAGCCTTGACTTATTTTTTACAGATATAACCTGTTATGTACGGAGAGCTGCCTGGTAATTACAGGCGGTGCTGCATCCAGCTTTTGACAGCTAAGTTAGGTTACACAGTAGCAGGCTTCCCCACTGCTTGTGTAACCTAACATAGTGAGGCAAGAGCTGCAACAGCCTCTAATCTGTGTTAGAGACTTGAGCTCTGTGGATGGTTTGGACCAATGGCAAAACGCCATTGGTCCAAGCTGTCCAATCATAAAAAGAAAAAAAAAACACTGGGGACATCGATCTTAATGCCTCACCACTGACGAGCAAGGGAGGGACAGGGAGGTTCCTCCCTGTCTCCTCCCTCCTCCACACAAAGCTTGCTTACCAAGTTGGGGGGCGGGGTGTCAGCAGACAGGGTGCAGGGCTGGGGCACCGCCTCACCCAGCATGGAACGTACTGCACGTCACTGGTTTACACCATAACTGCATCAGAACTGTGTGCCTCTGCGTAGCTGCAGTGCAATGCATTTTGCTGCATTTTTACCACTTTCCTTGAGCTTATGATGGTCTTTCAGGTGTAGTCCAGTGCGTTCGCATGCATTTTTTGATGCGCTTAGATGCATTGCGTTGCAAACAGGTGCAGCTAAAATGTGGCAAGCAGGATGTTTTCTGACTGCATCAGAACTGACTGCACTGGTGTAAACAGAGCACCAGAAATACCATTGAAAAGCATTGTGAAGCGATTTTGATGCAGCTGCCAAATTGCATCACAACTACATCTGGTGTGAACTAGCCTTTGATCTGTTGACTTGATAAGAAATGTTATTCCAGGCTTGTATCACTTGGGCGGATACTTTAGTTCCGCAATATTTTGGGCTTGATGCTTACCTGCAAAAATGGCTATACCAACAATATCCCAGGCATGTTCAATAAAAAAAACAATATTAAGCCAGTAAACTGTCTCCTTTTTGTTGGATATTATCTTGCTGAAATATGCCATTTTCAATTGTTGTCATAAGATGTGAGGCAATGAGGTTCATCACTTCAGCAACATACTGCCTAGTTGTACATAGCACTCTTTACTACAACCAACTGTGACTAGGTTTAATAGATGATAGCCTTCAAACCAGCACTTCTGAAGTAGCAAATGTGTAATTTGTTTTCCGAGTTATTGGTCAGATTGTTCCAAACAGTAGTTTCAAGTAGAACTCACCACTGAACACAAATTTCTGACCAGGTGAACCTACTCTATATTGCCAAAAGTATTGGGACGCCCCTCCAAATCATTGGATTCAGGCGTCTGAAATTTCCTTGCTACTAAATATTCCACAGTCATCTGTTAGTGGTATTATAACAAAGTGGAAGAACCTGGGAACAACAGCAACTCAGCCACAAAGTGGTAGGCCACGTAAAATAACAGAGCGGGGTCAGCGCATGCTGAAGCACACTGTTTGCAGAAATCGCCAACGGTCTGCAGAGTCAATAGCTACAGACCTCCAAACTTCGTGTGGCCTTCAGATTGACACAACAACAGTGCGTAGAAAGCTTCACGGAATGGGTTTCCTTAGCCGAGCAGTTGCATCCAAGCCTTACATCACCAAGTGCAATGCAAAGCGTCGGATGCAGTGGTGTAAAGCACGCCAACGCTGGACTCTAGAGAAGTAGATATATGTTCTCTGTAGTGACGAATCACGCTTCTCTGTCTGGCAATCTGATGGACATGTCTGGGTTTGGCGTTTGCCAGGAGAACGGTACTTGCCTGACTGCATTGTGCCAAGTGTAAAGTTTGATGGAGGGGGCATTATGGTGTGGGGGTGTTTTTCAGGGGTTGGGCTTGGCCCCTTAGTTCCAGTGAAGGGAACTCTTAAGGCATCAGCATGCCAAGACATTTTGGACAATTTCATGCTCCCAACTTTGTGGGAACAGTTTGGGGATGGCCCCTTCCTGTTCCAACATGACTGCCCACCAGTGCACAAAGCAAGGTCCATAAAGACATGGATAAGTGAGTTTGGGGTGGAGGAACTTGACTGGTCTGCACAGAGTCCTGACCTCAACCTCATAGAACACCTTTGGGATGAATTAGAGTGGAGACTGCGAGCCCGGCCTTCTCATCCAACATCAGTACCTGACCTCACAAATGTGCTTCTGGAAGAATGGTCAAACATTCCCATAGACACACTCCTAAACCTTGTGGACGCCTTCCCAGAAGAGTTGAAGCTGTTATAGCTGCAAAGGGTGGGCCAACTCAATACTGAACCCTACGGACTAAGACTGGAATGCCATTAAAGTTCATGTGCATGTAAAGGCAGGCGTCCCAATACTTTTGGCAATATAGTGTATCTCTGCCCTTGTTGGTATACTTTAAGAGGAAAATCATGTTTTTAAAAATTGTTACATTAAACATGGCCATCAAAACCTTTATATTCACATTCAGTTTGTTTGCCTATTGGTTGACTGAGAAACAGTCAATCCATTCCTCTTAAGGCTCCATTCACACATGAGCGGTTTTCCACATGTATTCGGCCCTACGAATACACGCGGAACCACTCTAAACATAGAAACATGCATTGTTCAGACTATTACGGGGTCAGCGCAGTACAAAACCATCCTAAAATAGGCCAAGCACGATTTCAGAGGCGGATTCCGCACATTCGCGGCTATAGTAAAAGCCAAAAACGAGCGGAATCCCTGCAGATGTAAAGATCTGAGCATTTTTGTGCCATGCAGTCTTCCGCAAGGTAAGCCACCGGGAAACACAAACGCTATATGTGAATGGAGACTAACTTTTTGTGCCTAATAGTGACAGCATACATATGTCCCTCCCACGTATCACAGTTATGGGCAAATAGCAACATGTTAGAGGTGGGAAGGAACAGAAAGCTGTGGCACTACCTGGAGTTTTGCCTTTGAAAACAACTCAAGGATTCTAAAAGGTGTGTGCAGATGAGATGGCTACTGGGAATTGTCCAGTCCTGTGCATACACAAATGGAATTGTTAAATCCGCATTAAAGAAAATGAAAAAAGTTGCAACTTTCGCCTTTTGTTAACTGACTGTTTACTACGGGAAACACTTCACCATGTGTTAAAACACAAATCCATGCTATGACTAAATGTAATGACATACCAGTCTTACCATTTACAAGTAGTATAGGACATTACCCATAATTATTCATGTATGATGATAAAACAAACACGAGAAGATCTTTTGTAACCATCCACATAGTACTCCAGATTTAATATCATATGCAATAACACAAGTCTGGTTTTCTTTATGGGGATACATATGCAGAATTGTTTATTCTGTAGACTTTTTAGGATTCATAGCACATATGAGCACATACTTTCCACTGCAAGAAAAATGCCATTTGTTTTAATAAATTTTATAGAAAAAAATGGTAGCCAGATGGAAAAAAAAACAATCAAAGTAAATCTACAGGATTTTTTTCTGCTCCACTATCACACAGAATAATACAAGAATATATTAAAAAAAAGAGTGGTACCCTATTTGAGCGGTATGTGGTTATCACTCAGTCCAGGCTTCAAATGACTAATTTGCCTTAAACCCATACAAGATTAAACCTGCATGTAGATCGGAGACAACAGTTACCCTATAATATCCGTTTTAAGAAACCTTGTCTGATTGCTCATGTTCCCAGGGTAGGCCAGTACTGCAAGCGTCTGTGGTTGTATCATTAACTCACTAACTATCTCTGAATGCATTAAAAGAGAACTATGGGGTAAGTGTTTTTCTCCATTGTTCTCTTAAGGGTCACGGGAGGAAATATACTAGCGCCCTCCCATGACCCAAAGCTCAGTATATATCGCAAGCTACAGCTCGCGGTATACTGAGACCGCCGCAGCCGGGACGGATCCCGACAGTACTGTCTGGATCCACCCAGCTGCGTGATTGACAGCTGGCTCTGCCTATCTATAGGCAGAGCCTCCTGTGCCCCCCCGCCCACTCCCCTCTCCGTTCCTCCAGTCAGCGCTGGAGGATCGGAGAGGGAAGGGGGGGGGATTCCTGCAGGGAGCCCTGACTGACGGTCACGGCTCTCTGCAGGGAGATGATCGAGAAGTGAGCAAGGGACGGTATGTGTTCGCTCACTTCCCGATCTATTGAGTTTCATTGTCACACGTCGGCTCGAACTATGAGGATGAGTGATTTTCCCTCACCTCATAGTTCTCCTTTAACACAACTGATCGACCATGCATGTGACTGTGATACCGGAAAGTGTTAGTATTTAGTCGAAGTGTTCAGATTGGACTACAAAATGGACCATTGGTTGTTGATTGAACTTGTGGATAGTGGATTGCTTGTTTATGGTGATTACTTGCAAAATATTTTCGATTACAGGTAGCTTGAAAAGTCGATGAAATTGACTGCAGTTTCTTCCCAAGATTGGCCAGCCAGCTCAGATGAGACTGTTGACTGATCCAGTTGAAAACAACTGGCCTCTCTTGTCTGGGTACCCCAAAGCCTGTACTATGCTTACAGGTTTAGTGAGCAAGCAAAGGGGAAAGGAGATCAGTGCAGTAACCCATAGTGACCCTACTATTCAGACCTAGTGGCTTCACTTCACATGTATCTAAAGCTGCCCATACACCTTACAACCATCGCACGACTTTCGCTGTGCGATGGTTGTAAGGTGATTAAAATTCCATACGATCTGCCCATCTTGGACAGGCAAATCGTACTTGCGATCATCGTAAGCCCTCCCCGCTGAGGGGAGGGCTTTAGATGATTGCAGTGCTGAGCGGGCAGTGTGAGCTTGAGCACACCGGCCCGTGCGGCATTCGTCTTCCGAGCACACCGGCCCGTGCGGCATTCGTCTTCCGAGCACGCCACCAACCCGACCAAAAATCGTACGATTTTCCAGAGTGCTTGGAAGACGAAAGTCGTCCGACCGTACAGTACAAGTGGTCGCACACTGCCCATAAACCTGCTGATTATCGTACGATTGCGGGATCACCCGCGATTATCGTACGATGATCGGCAGGTGTATGGGCATCTTTATTGTTATGGGCCATTAAACTTTGCACAACCTCATAGCCATCTGTACTGTTTTACTGTATTTTAGTGTACTGTACTGAATGTGCTCATAACAATTCTGTTATTCTCTGCAATTATCCCTAAACATTGCTGTTACCTGATGGGATAAAGAAGGTGTGTCCTTGCTTCAGTTCAATCCTCTGACAACCCTGTGATCTGTCTCCTAAGAATATGTCAGTTTGTTTCCCTGATAAAAGCCATTCCTCATAAAGCTGCAAGTTATACACAGTGGGAGGAATCAACCAAAATACCTGCAGGAGAAATAAAAAATGTTATGTGAATACATCTGTGAAAATGGAAAATAGGATTACCCCTCACAGTCAAATCAGTGTTTCCCAAAGTGTAACAAGCCCATGAAACAGGTGCGTTTCTTAAGCTCACGGTGATCGCTACTCAGCCAATTTGATAAGTGGAACAGTGGTAGTGGCTAGAACAGGGGTGAGCAACTCCGGACCTGCAGCTGTGCTTTAACTACAAATCCCAACATGCCTCTGCTTCTGGGAGTCATGCCTGTAACTGTCAGTCTTGCATGGGACTTGTAGTTCCACAACAGCTGGAGGGCAGAAGTTGCCCATGCCTTGGCTAGAGGGAACTAGTTAATATAATCTTGGGACTGGAAGTGCATGTGGCCTCATTTTGGAATTAAATTAACATGATAAACAGCAATAAATTGCATGTAGTTTGTGAGTACTGAACTAGAGACCATTGATGCTGCATTGCAGCAGTGTTGGTAGATAGTACAGTGCATGTGAAAACACAGACACCACAAAGGTCCTGGTGGTACAAAACTGAGATCTGGAAATTGCCTGGCAGTCATCCTGTTCCTCAATACCAAGTCACTAACCAATACCAAATAAGCAAATTAGGAGTTTTAACTACACTTGCTGCATACTCGCTCTGAGTCAGAGGGCTTGACTTACTAAAGGCAAATAGGCTCATCACTTTGCAGGGGAATTATCACTTAGTTTAGTGAATGAGGTGAAGCTTAACTGATCTCCATCATCCAATCATGTGCAAGCAAAGATACTGGTTCTTTTTTTTTTTTCTTTGCACACTATTGGGTATTTTTTTGCAGAATGAATCTTCATTATTTATACTAAGCTGGGGGAAAATTATATTGCAAAGCGAATAGCCCATTTGTCTTTTGTATATCAACCCTTGTGACTCAGAAATTGTTAAACCTAATGGATCAGCATGAAAGCCAGTCAACTAGGATTTTCAGTAGCTGGACTGCAATGGCTTATGGTCTGCTTTAGTGTTAGATTTACTTTAGAGCCCATTAACACCAGGGCGGTTGCGGATCAGTGCGCTTACCGCGCTGATCTCAAAAAGGAAGGTTTTGGGAGTTTTTAATTGCGTTTCAGAGCTGAAAAGCAATTAAAAACGCCCAAAACCACGCTGACCAGCGCGGTTCCATTGAAAGCTGTATGGAAACTGCACTGATCAGCGCGGCAAAAATAGTGCAGGGAGCAGTTTGGATCGCGTGGACCCACGCAGTCGCATGAACGGTCCCCAACGGTCATGTCGGCCGAACCGCCCCCGGTTTGAACGGGGTCTTAAAGTGATACTAAACTCAGGAGGTAAACCTTGGGCTTGGAGCAGTGGCTACTTTATAACACACACAGGGACCACAGGGAACAAAAGCAGCCACCCTGCAGAAGGAAGGACAGTGTCAGCACCCATTCAGAGATGATTTGAGGATCTACAGTTGAGTGCTACACAAATAAGATACATTTTTGTTAATAGTTGAGGTACTAGAATGTATTTTTAAGATTTATCTCCTGAGCGTAGTGTCACTTTAAGATAATATATTGAGTACAGTATGTTGGGTGACAAATACCTATGTTTTTCAGTTTACTGCTATTTGTTCAATATCTGAAAGTTTGATTATCTGAGTTAGTTTATCTAAAAGAAATTTGCTGCAATTAGAATATTATGAACGTACTGACTTCAAAGTGACCTTTTATTCAACTTGTAACTGAACAGATTATGGGAGGCTAGTGAAATGAAGAAATCCCACCCAAGTAAAAAGAGCCTTTAGTGGTGATATACTGGGTAGTCTTGCATATTCTGCTGACTATTTTAAGAGGCCTAGATTTCAATGCTAGTTAAAGAAGGACTCCAGGAAGTGGCTACCCCAGCACTGCTAGGGTTAAGTGTTCGTTTGTGTCTAGGTGCTAAAATAACAACATTACACTCACCCGAAGTTCCGAGCCAGCCAGCTATCACAGCACTACCTCCAGCCTGTCCACTCCCCTGCGGCAGCATTGGAATATGCCTCAGCGTCCTAACGTCTATACACTGTGCATAGACGTGATGATTTACTGGAGCTTAGACTGCTGCAGACACGAGGGGAGAGAGGCTCTAGGTACTGGTCTAAGAACAAGCCAGCTCAAAGCATCGGGTGAGTATAACTTTTTTTTAACCTAGACAAAAACAAGCACTTAAATCTTGCAGTGCGGGGGTAGCACCACTGCAAGGGTTAATACATCCCCCCGGAGTTCTTCTTTAACTCGGTTATAAACATGCATGGCTGATTCTACCTGATTGTCATAAAGCGTATGTCAAAAACAGAATGGCAAAACAGAAAAATATGCTTTATCCCATTTAGGATCCAGCACGTGCAGAAAAATACCTGTTGATGTGTCAGAAATGCTTACAGCTCTTAAAGGAGAACTATGAGGTGATTGGGAAGTGAGCGAACACATACCGTCGCTCGCTCACTTCTCGATCCTGTCCCTGCAGAGAGCCGTGACTGTCGCTCCCTGCTCCCTGCAGGGATTCCCCCGCTCCGATCCTCCTGCGCTGTCTGGCGGAACGGACAGGGGGCAGGGCGGGTACAGCTGGCTCTGCCCCTACATAGGCAGAGCCAGCTGTCAATCACGCAGCTGGGTGGATCCAGACAGTAATGTCGGAATCCGTCCCGGCTGCGGCGGTCTCAGTATACTGAGCTTTGGGTCATGGGAGGACGCTAGTTTGTGTCCTCCCGTGACCCTGGGGAGAACTATGGGGAAAAGCACTGACCCCATAGTTCTCCTTTAAGACATGCTGTAGGCCGGCAACAGATAGCATTTTTGTGGTGTCAGTCATACCCACTGTCTTTTGCCAAGTTACTCAACCACTCCCACTCTCAGATCTCTACAACATAAAGTTGAATGATTTTGTAGTCCACTATAACAATTAAGAGAATTAAGAGGGCTAAACTGACTTTTTTGAGAAGTCACAGTATATATGCACAGAACACAGTACATATGCAGAGGACACAGGACAGTTATGAATTTCTGACAAAAATAAATTCAGATTTTTTTTTTGCACTTATCAAACATATATAAGAAAATGCTTCTAAGTATATATTCACCAGACTAAAGGGTATCAAGTAGGAGAAGTTCATTGTGAGGGTTTACATACACTTTAACACTGTATGACCTGAAAATAACTTCAAGGGCCAATAATATGCTTTAAAGAGCTTCTCCTCTGCAAATTAAGAAATAAAAGTCAGATCTCAGAAGAAGCTTTTCCGCCCACAACCGGGCAGCAATCCAGTCCTCTCCGGAGTTGGTACCTAATTTTAACTTTGTATATATTAGTGCTGGCCATAGAAGTGAATGAACTACCCATTCTGAATGGGGAATTGTGGTGGCTTTCTATTCTAATCACAGAGGTGCTAATAACATCCAATGGAATGCTAATAGGTTCAGTTCTTGGTGTTATATGCTTTCAAATATGCAGAGTCATCGATCAAACAGCAATCAGAATAAGTGACATCTTGGATTTTAAATATATGGTGCAGAGTATAAAAAAGGGCCATTTAGGCTATAAATTTTGAACTTCCTTGAATGTAAGATATATTCTAAAAAATAAAATTATATTGAAACGTTATCACATTGACTACTAAACACACTCCAAGAGGCATGAATGGATTAAAAAAAAAATCACTTTAAATGGATACATAAACATTCTCTATCTCCATGTGTGCATCATTATAATGACCCATTAAAAAAATGCACTTGCCTTTCCACCTCGAAAAACATGGTACCATACGGATGTCCCTCCAAAGTCAATATGAAAATCAGTGAAACAGCCCTTGACGCTCATCAAACAATACCTGTGAAATATATCATCTGTTCATATCAATATATAACCCAGCAGATCTACATAGAGCACACTGTGAGTGTTCTTTGCAAAAAAATAAAAAAAAGGCATCAAAGGGTGGTATGTCAGAGAAAATTGGCAACAACTACAAAAAGAGTATTGTGCAACACTGTACACATTCATTTTCTATCAAGTAATTGTTCTATGTCTGATTTTGCATCAAATTCTAATAAAGGGGAAGGGGCTGTCACATAACATAGTTATGATAATAATATTAATCATAATACTAATAAGTTAAAATAAGTTATAATAATGTAAAGGATTTCAGCAAATAATACAGAAGGCCATGAGGACCATAAATAGTTACATGAATTAAAGTGGTTACAATCTTTGTATTACACACATTGAAAACAGGGGTGCTGTATTCAATATACTATACATTTGAAATACAACAGGGAATGTGGGGTCCTTATTTTTGCCATGGCGAAAACCTCGAGGGCATGAGTAAGCGTGATTTAAAGTGGACCGGAACTCAAGAAGTGATTTGCCATGTTATAGGGATCACCTACAAATGTTTATTGTGCCTAAGCACACCTTTTATCTAGAATTCCTGCTGAAACATACCGGTATAAGTGCACTTCCTGGTATTTGACCCCTGTGCCTACAGCCTAGTAGCTGTATATCTGCAGTGCAAGATCGAAAACCTCCTATTGTTAGAGGTCCATTTGCACCTGTCAGTCACAGTGCCATTCATTTTCAATGGCACCCCAGTGCACAAGGTCAATGCACCTCTGAGGCGAATGTGTGGACACTGCCACATATGGCAACGCACTACCATGCATTGTGGTACACTGCATCAGAAAAAAATGGTGATTATCTGATTTTTGGTCTGTTTTGGTGCCTAAAATCAATGGGATGCCAAAATGCAATGCATATGAACACAAAACACAACCACCAAAGCTAACCTGTTGAAATGAGCCCTTGATCTCAGAAGATTTGCAGTAAGATTTAGTGATGTCACTCTGACATGAGGAGGCAAAGCCCTGCCTCTACCATGATGGCCACCTTCACACGGACGCACAGTACAGAACAAAGCTTGGTAAGTCAGATCAGGAGGCAACACAAGTGACTAGCCATTTGCCCTCTGCCTAACTTTTGTTTGGGCACAGCTTCCAGAGTTCAAATTCTCTTTAACTCTCCTGTGTGTACCATAAACAAATATGTTTTGGTTATATTGACCCTTTAAATCTGGCCCAAAATCAAGAACACAGTTATTGGATCTGAAAAAAAAACCAAAATGATGTCTAGAAATTACTTTTAGATTACTTTTTGGTCAATTTTTATTTAAAGTAAAAATCCAGGTTTGCTAAAGTCATATAATATTTTGTATAACTATCAAATAACATTTAAGTTTCTATGCTCTACAACAAATATGTTGTAGCATGCCAAAATGGTGTTTTTGACATTTTCTCGCTCTTCCTCACTTTAGCTGCTTTAACCACTTGAAGACCGGGGTGTTAAACTCCATTTCCTGTCCATGCCATTTTTAAGTATTCAGCGCACGTGCACAGGCGGCCAGACTGCCAAATATTATTACCGGTCTTTTATAGGCTACTTTTGTTTACATTTTAGTTTAGCAGCATAGTTGCTTTAAAGGGGGAGTTTTTACTTGAAACAAGTCAGATCTCAATCCTTTCTTTATGATGATATGAAAATCATCATAAAGATCGGGAGGTGAGCGAACACATACCGCCATTCGCTCACCTGTCGATCCTGTCACGGCTCTCTGCCGTGACAGGGGAGGGGCTGGATTCCCCCCTCCCCGCTCCGATCCGCCAGCGCTGACTGGCGGAACGGACGGGGAAGGGGGCGGGTACAGCTGGCTATGCCTCTAGCTAGGCAGAGCCAGCTGTCACTCACGCAGCTGGGCGGATCTCGACATCAAAGTAGGGATCCGCTCCGGCTGCGGCGTCTCAGTATACTGCGAGCTGCAGCTCGCGGTATACTGAGCTTAGGGTAACGGGAGGATGCTAGTTTTTGTCCTCCCATTACCCTAAGGAGAACTATGGGGAAAAGCCCTGACCCCATAGTTCTCCTTTAACAACAACCTATTATTACTGATACCAACTTAAATAACACCATGCTTACTAATTCCGAAGTTATGTGTCTTTTGTAAGGATTTTTTTAAGCGTTCTTGGAACATGTTAATGTTGCTGACTCACTGCGTATGTTTTGTGACATTACGCTTAATTTCACATTAAAGGGAGCATATAGTAGTTTTGTACAAATGTCCTTTAATTATTAATTATGGCCAGGAGATTAAAAAAAAAAAGATATCAATTGTTTCAGGCCAGGCATATAAAAAATATTGCAGATTTGTGGTTGAGCACTCCAGAGTCCTGTTTATAGAGCTCAAGAGTTCAAGCTAAAATATACACACGCACACTCCCCCTGCCCCCCCCGGCTCCACAAGGTTTCAACAGGAGTCAGAGAGGCAAACAGCCGTAGATGTAAAGTCCATTCTCATTGAAGAAAACCCAAACTGCTCTAGGAATCAGTTTTCATTTATGTACACTGTTATTTGTTATTTGTCAAAGAAAGATTGTGCAGTATGTTTAAAGTTTGTAAAGGCAAAATTTATTTTGGGTTCGGATAGAGAGGGGAAGGATTAGAACCCCTGCTAAGTCTTAATTGTTGTATTTGTCCCCACCGGGAAGATATACACTATTTGTCCTGGTGACCACTGTGACTGGAGACAGAATCCAAAGTTTTAGAGTTGTCTCTAAAACAAACGAAAGGATGATTCTTTCAATAGGGACACCTTTTCTAATGACAATGGTATAAGAGGGGATTTCCCCTCACTTTTTAGAAATTTCCTCTCACTTCCGGATAGGTCTCTGGGACAGGAAGTGAAGGGAGACAGACAGCAAAAAATAAACTCACAAGGGTTTAACCCTTTACTATTGTATTCAAAACCAAAAGAAAAAGTTTGGGCTATACATATACTTTAAGAGCTTACAAATTAAAATATTGACTTCACACCATTATAGTTTCCGTTTCATTCTTAAAACAAACCTTGCATCAAAATGTTGCCACTGAATCACTAGGCCTCACTATGGAATATTAGGAAAGCAGAGGATCCTAAATACCACGGGAAGAAGCCCAGTGACATCACCCTCACCTATGTGAGCCCGCTGGAAGCTAGGTCTAAAGCATATATTTTTTACATTTTTTAAATGTTTTAGATTTTTAATGCTTTTCTTAACCATTTTACATGGAGGAGTGGGTGGCATCTAGATAAGCAGACCTTATATTTTGATGCAAGGTGTGCTTTCCCCTTGTATGCATCAGCTTCTCTTACAATGTGATTGTCTTCCTTTGTCTAATAGAAAAACTAAAAGCACATTTGTGAGAAAGGGTCAGTTGGTTGAAATAAAATCATTTATCACTGGGATGAGAAACTTAAAGCAGAACTAAAGCCCTGATTTGAATTACAAAAGATACATACCGTGTTTCCCCGAAAATAAGACACTGTCTTATATTTTTTTTGGCTCAAAAAAACACACTAGGTCTTATTTTCGGGGTAGGTCTTATTTTTTTTTTTAATGTACAACAATCCAAAGTTAATGCAAATCCAAATTAGATAATCCAAAATGGCCAAGTTAAGAATAGGGTGATCAGGGCAATCAGGGGAGCCGTACCTTTCCAATCGCTGGCCAGAATGAGCGAAACGCACTTTCACTATAGATTTCTCACAGGCGGGGTGCATTTGATATCACTCCGCCTGTGACAGGAGCCAGCGCTATAGAAGAAGCATCGCCTTATGCGGCACTGCTCCCTCCGCTGCCGCCTCGCTTCCTCTAGCGCTGGCTTCATTGGCACCGCTGATACTCTCCCGTGGCTCTTCAAGTTCCCCCTAATGCCACCACCGGCCCTGGGAATGGTCACAACTAGGTCTTATTTTCGGGGTAGGTCTTATATTTTAGCAATTCCCAAAAATAGTACTAGGTCTTATTTTCGGGGTAGGTTTTATTTTAGGGGAAACAGGGTACTGGGGTTGGCTTACTAAAGGGAAGTGTTTACTGTGTAATAGAATTTTATAGCTTAGTGAATGTGGTGAAAGTTCACTTCGCAAGCACTACCCAATCACGGGCCAGGAGAATGAAAAAAAATGTTAGTTTTTATTGCACATGATTGAATGATGGAAGTCAGCAGAGCTTCACCTCATTTATTCGGCTAAGGGAAATCTCTTTTGCAAAGTGAACAGCCTATTTTCCTTTAGTAAATCAACCACACTATGGGGGGAATTCATAAAAACTGGAGCAGAGAGAATCTGGAGCAGTTGCTAATGGCAACCAATCAGCTTCTTTCTTCAGTTAGTCCAGGTAAGCTTTGAAAATGAAAGAAGTTGACGGTTTGCCGCAGACAACTGGTCCAGATTCTGTCTGCTCTTTATGAATTCCACTATGTCTTTTTTGCAATAAATATTTCTTGCAAGATTTTTTTACATAGTACACTGCACATGCGCAGCTCAGTATACATTCTCAGCAAGTCACGGTGCCGGGATAAATTAACTCCAGTGTACATGTAAGGGAGCTACATCATCATAGCCCAGCCAATGAAGATGGCTGAAGACGCCAAACCTGGAAGCAGCCAGTGGGAAGATTCTGGCGCCGGCGAAGGAGCTTTCGCATGTTGCAACACTGGAGGGCAGGTAAGTGTGCATGGCTTTAGTATACTGTTAGAAGTTACAGGTTTAAATCTCTGCGGTGCAATTACACAAAGTGGGTTGATGTTATTTACTTTGCATGTTAACCTGGATTGTGTTAGAGCAGGCCATCAATTTCAATAGGCTCCCAAGCACACTAAAGGGTACCAAAAAGGTGTATGTACTGTTTTCTGAAAGGCAGCATATCACAATGCACAGGAGTTAAGGGATAGGAGGTGTGTCAAAATTAGGGATACTTTACAAGTCAAAGAAATACCAAGTCATGCTCTCTAAAGGAGTTAGAG